AGCCTCTTTTTCTGGTCTTTTCTTCTCACCCTCTGGCTTGACCTCTTTTTTGACTGGTCGGATGTTGCCAGGAGAAGGAGGACGTGTCTGAGCAGAGGAAATTTTGGAGGAACCAGGTGGGGAAGTAATCTGCTTGGGTGTGCCAGGCAAAAAAGGCAAAGATTTTGACGCACGCCTGTGTAATCAAAGAGTGACAATGTTGGTTTCCACCTACATATCACTGCTACAACCACAGTAGCTAAAAATAAAACCATCTCTTTGTTTCTCTATCAAGCAGGACTGCTGGTACAACTGATTTAGTTTCATCCAAAAATGCCTCTCTTTGCAGCTCCCCATATCTGTGAGCACTGAGCCAAGCCATGAGGTAATAAAACACATTTTCCTCCCCACTTCCCCTTCCTCAGGGAAGCAGCAATATTTCTTTAAAAGTTCTTTAAAATTTCTTTTCTCTTTTTGCAGAGAGAAAACATCTACATCACCAAATAACTTCGCATTGTTTCACATTTAATTAATAGAACAATCAGAGCTGCCTACAGCACATTTCCAGCTAAGCATGTACTTGACTTACCAAACTGGAGAGGGAGCTGGTGATCTAGCTTTGGGGTTGGAAGTAAAATGACCTCCTTTAAAGTTGGCTGAGAAGCTGGATGTCAAATAGTCTCTCTCCTTTTCTTTTTTGTCAGTCTATAGCTCAGCAAACAAAAAGACAAAGTCAAGCCAGAGTTCACACAGCTAAAGAAAGCAATGAAGCTCAGTTAAGAATGAGGGGTTGGGGGCTGATAAAAAGCAGTGCTGAGTCAGTAGTTTCTATAGCTTGTTTAACAAGTTCATTAATATAGCTCCTGTAACCTGACACCATCTTTGTCAGTAAATATGCAGTTGACAGCAAGAATTTTTTTTAATCGTTCTCTACTGTCCTAAGATGCAATGGGCTAATTTGCAGAGGCTTATTTTTACATCTTTGATCTTGGCTGATTGCTGCAGAGCACCTTCCATTACTTCCCACAAATCCAGGATTTTATTGGAAGAAAGAACAAAACAAGCCTCTACCCTGGGCTCATACTTAGTCACACTCTTCCTATATAGCACAACTTTTTGTGTTCATGCTTACATGTGAATGCCACAGATGTCCTCAAAGACCTCAAATGTGGTACAAGAGTTATCCTATTCTTTTTTTCTTGGATGATTTCACCACTAGTACATGGTACTAATCACATGGTAGTGATTTCTTTTTTTCCTTCTTAATTTTTAAAAAATAAAATCCTAAGTTGAGAAACATTCCTATGACAGCTCTGGTCTGTATTAATAGAAGAAGGAATATATCAGAACTTAGGCATTTATGTATTTCCCCTATTTAAGTGTAAATGAAAAAATTTATGGTTTTGAAATAATGAGCTCCGACTCTGGAAGTTGAAGAACGGGAATACTGGAGAGCACGCTAAGCTGCCCCTCAGCCAATACGATGCAGAGGCTGCTGCTCGTCACCTCAGCTGGGGCTTAAACACAACCCCCACAGAAGGTGTACCATGACGCTTTAGAGCCTCACTAGCTCAGAGCTCTGTGATGCTCGTCCCCTCACCTGAAAACCAGGCTAACAACTGGAAAAGAAAGCCTGAAAACAATTTAATGAGCATATGAGTTATCAAAGCATACACAACCAGAATAAATGCATTACAGTGAACAAGATTTTTGGCTTGCTAGCAAGAACTCTCTATTGGATCTACTTTATTAGTACTGAAAGCAGACCATCAGAAAATTTTTCTTGATATCAATAAAGTAAAAAGCTGAATTCCTACAGAAGTTCACAGAAGAATAAAAGATTCACCACACCATACAGGCTACTGAAAACAGCTCTTAACTCACTCATTTTGTATTAACATTTTTACATCATCTCCTCCCTTAAAAAGTAACATCCTCTCTTCTTTATAATTTAGGGAAAAAAAAAAAAAAAGCCAAAACCCAAACTACTTGCATTGAGAGAGACTCGAGAGGAAGAGGTATTAAACCAATAGCTCTGGAGACTGCAATGCACTATGCACATGCTATGAAATTTCTCTACAGATACATCCCAGTGCTATGCCTGATCTTCAATATACTATCATCTGTCTGAAAGATTAAGTACTGGCTATGATTCATGCCACTTTGATTAACACTGCTTCCAACAAGGATGTCAATAGCGGTACTGCCTCTTGACCTTTTGCCCATCAGGCTGAACTAAGAACCTCTTACACAATCATTTTCAGAAGTGACTTTAACTCTTCTCACATTCTGAACAAACTCAGGTTGTAGAGTACAAGGGAAAAATACAACTGCTCAAGTTCAGTGAATGATATCTGAACTGGATCTGACTGCGTCCTATTGGCATGGAGCACAGTCAACACAAATTTGTTCCGCCTGTATTACACACTTGTGATTTTCCCGAAAAGCTCAGATCAGTCACAGTACAGCTACTAAATCATTCAGAATGTACAGGAGACCTATAGAAAGCCTCACTTACAAACTATGCTCCTAGACCAACCTCTTCCTTCTCAGTGAGGAAAAGTTTACTAGTCTGGTCTCCTAAGATAAGTACAGATGAAGGGATAGTGCTCTGTGTGCTTGTGTATAGAGACGTGTGAGTGCATTCCCCTCTATTCTAGAGGGTCAGATGAATTTTTTAGAGGCCTCAGAAGATATGAAAGTTTGCAGGCTTTGTGAAACCAGGTTGCTGGTAAAAATAGGTTCCCCGCTGAGGGAAAAGTTGGAACACCAGCTTGGGCCTTAAACACAGCAAAGACTCCACTTGAGAACAGGGTACATTCACTGTTACTGTCTCTGTGCCTCATGAGAAGCTAAGGCATCTACTCTGCAAACATGGGTGTTTGGAAAACATTGGTGTTTTCCCACATGGATTCTTTGGTGCATTATCAGGCCATGTCACCACATAACACAGCATGTTTCAGTTAAAATCCAGCCAACTCTGACACAGTTGGAGGGGAAGGGGACAGCGCTGAGGGGGAATAAGTATCCCTGCAGCTATTCCAGTCCTAACAAGCAATGCCATGAGGTGGTCACGGCATGAGACACTCAGCTCATGTGCAGATGGCAGACTTACCCCTGCAAGGTGCGTTGTTGTTCTCCTACGTCCAACGGCATCAGTAGAAGCGTAAAGCTTTGCTCGTTCTCCTGAATTCCTACAGTTCATGGCCTTGTAGGACAGAGGACTGATGGGGCTGCAAGATGCTGAACGGGGACAAACGGGGATAACTACGGTGTGGGTTGTTTTTGTTATTTATTAGTTTTAATTACAGAGTAGCATTGGAGAAGGACAGAGGAAAGCCAGCAGGAACAGAAAGAACCGAGAAAGACAGAAAAGAGAGAAGGTATTAATACATAGAGAAATGACTAATTCTCAAGTCAGAACCATCATTTGATACGTTAACTTGGCCACACATGCAGTAATGATATAATTTCAGTAAGTGCTCATGTATTTTTCCATCTGTAAACTAATAATGGCCCTAAAAAAATTTAAGAAGTATGCCATAATACTGAGTAGTAGACAGTAATGATGTTTTCGTGTTAAGTTTTTATACAACTGGTGGTTCTGAAAAAGCAGTGGAAACATTGGCTGGTCTAACTGATTAGCTTAGTAGATGCACGAAAATGAGTTTCAATTACATTCAGAATAGAAAACAATCACACTAAAATCAGAATGCCTATTAATTGCATTGGAAGTGAAGAAAAATTAAAGGAGACATCCACACAAAGATCAAAACACATTAACAATACAAAACAGTTTCACCTAGGAAATCAGTGAAATTGTTGTCTACAATTTTTAGCAAGTGATGTGTTTTTTAAAATCCTTTTTAGGAATATTTTAGCCTATCATATTTCTTGATAACACTAGAATAACAACTGAATCAAATACATTCTCGACAGCAAACTATTTGGCACATTAAAAAAAGCAGGCTGACAACAACAAATCAACTTGGAAATCAGTATCTGAGTAACCAGGGTGGCAGTTTTTGTTGGCTGCACAAGGAAAAAGACTATTACCAAAAGATCACCTGACAATAGCAGGTGTCAGATATACAGTATTCTGAGTACATCTTCAAAGAGAATTGTAACACTTCAAAACACATCATGGGGAAATTCTTGCAGCAAAGTGTTCTTGGACTTTCTCTTGATTTAACTGAAGGAGAAGGTTGGGAAAAACGATGTTATTACTGCAGAGTTTTATCTGTGTGCTCCTGTTAGTCTCTCCTAGTCATTTAACAGAGGTTTACCATAACTGTTATCCAGCACATTACTTGAAGTAAAAATAGGGCCTCTCGTATATCTTCCCTACACTTTTTTTTTTCCAAGTAATAGAAATTTACATCCTCATTTTCTGTGGTAAAAACAAACCAATAGTAAGTAATGGCCAGTCTTTGCGAACGAAGAACCGGGGAAGGTCTTTACACCTTCCAGCCTGCGCATTGGATTTTTTTAGGTGAGACACAGTGTGCGCGGTGTAGATCCCTCTGAGATCACTTGAAAGAATGCAGTTCCACATACAGTTAATTCTTCCAGTCTTACAACAGTACAGCTGCTGTTACAGGAAGAGCTCATAGAATTAACAGTACTAATGCTGCAAATTCTCCTGCACCAAGAGATTAACATTAGGAATAAAGAGGGTCTCATGTAAGTGTTACAGCAACGGCACCCATGCTTGCCTTATAGTTTATAGGGATTTAGGTTTAATGAGGTATTATGACTGACTTAAAAACAAGCAAGAAACAAAAAACCAGGGATTTTTGTTTGTGTTTTTGTTTTGGTTGAAGTTATCCAAACCAAACTGGAGGCGGTGGCATAATATGTTTTACCGAGGTTCTAATTCATGGGTTCCCTCTCTGTGATTCCATTCCCTTTCTCCATGCCGATTATCTGAAGTTACCATCATGGATGACACTGCAAGTATTAAAAACAAGCAGTTCATTTTCACTTGTGATGTTGCCAAACAATGTTTTAGGAAGCACTCCCAATGATTCATATACTAACAGGATTACATCTATTCAGAGGAGCTTTTTGAGAGCTATTTAAAAAATATTTTGGTTTGGGAGGATTTATTTAAAAAAAGATCCAGACGTGCTCTTTTGCTGGATGTCCCTAATAGCTCACTTAAAATTTAAGGACGTGAATCCATATTTAATCTGGTTTGGATTTTTTTGCATTGTAATTTATCTTTACAGCCAAAGGGCAGGGTAATTTTCTAGAGAATAATGGCAGGCTGGGATGAGTGGAGTGCTCAGAGCACAGCTGTGAGCCATTGCCATCACCTGATCATTAACCTCCAGGAAGCATCTTGCATGAAGGGGCTGCAGGATAATACCTGCAATAATACCTGGAAAACAATGAGCAGATGGATTATTCTTCTGGGTGGTACAGTTCCAGTTAGCATAGGGAAGGTATCTCAGGGAATTGCCTTAGACTGATAAACCAGTCTTTCTTGATATTTGTAGTCTTTCTCAATATTCCACTCAGTATAGAGCTTATTGTACAGAATAAACAACAGCAGTCATGAAAAGCTTCACACTTGCTCTAGTAATCACTTACAAAATGAAGACACTTACTTCTCAACTATTCCCTAATGAAGAGCTGAACTTCCAATATCCTCCTTGATAGATGACATTAAATATTAATTTTACAAGCTATTATTTATGAAGAGTGAAAAGGAATTTTGTACTTGTTAATTCCCCTATTTGCAGAATATCATCCACATTTTTGCTCCTACAGCACTACCCCTGTGGAAATGTACTGCAGCCTAATTAGTTATAAGAGTTCTTAAGTGAAAGCTTCTTTAAAAGTAATCTTAGCAGATCTCTATTCCTTCTTACCTTCTATGTTCTTTAATTAGAATCAAAATCCTGTCCACATCAGACAAGAAAGACCTGCCTAGACATACACATTCAGCACGTCCAGCAATATATTCTTGTAATGGTAAAGTCCCCAGTGGATGATTATAAAACATCCTATGATAAAAGAAGAGGCAGCAGTCACCTGTCTAAGACACATGATAAGCAGCCATGCCCCGGTTGTCTTTGGAATACAGTTTTGCCTGGGCTTTCAGTTAACACCTAGCAATATCATCACATTTCTGCACATTAACTTTCCCCTCAGTGAGTGCTGTTCTGGGGTTGGCAGAGAACATCACAATTATTATAACCTGAATAAACCTGCACATTTAAGTTCATGTGTATTAAATGCACGGTAACCAGGGCCTATCTTTATACAAGTCTAACTTGTTCCCTGTGGGAAGTGCCCTGGCAGGGGGTGAAACTCCTTTGCAGCAAGCAGCTCACACAGCCTTAGCAGTGGATGTGCTGAATCAGCTCTTTACAAGATCATGTGCATTTCCTTAAACAGCCATGGATGGTGTGATTTTGTTGCTCCGCATGTTTTGTATTCATTTATTGCAACAATGAAGAGGCAAAAGAAATTAAGAAAGAGAGGGTAGGAGAAAGAGGCATAGCAAGCAACTGTACAAACAAGCTTTCATGCTGTCATGCAAATTAATTGTGGACATTCAACCTCATTCTGGGATGCCACCATACACTCATAATTAGATCAATGACTTTACAACATCCGTCAGGGAAGCTGGAAAAATAAGTGTCTGAGACATGAAGCCTCTGTTCTTAAAGGATTACCTGCATCTCCAGACAATGCAGCTGTGCTTTTACTTCGGGCCAGGAATGAGTGAGTGGGCGTCAGGAGCCTGCTAACAATGCTGCTCTCCCATGGACTGAGCTGAAGACGGCGAGCTGAACGTGCACCATACAAGCAAGATGTTAGGTCAAACACTTCACAAATAATTACATGCTGCAGGAGTATTAGTTCTATTTCCTCACTACTCAAAATCTTAAAACTGTCCTTCAGAGATCAAAAGCATACAATAGTTCAGTGGTTTGCATTTTATTATTACACCATTTCAGCAGAAGAATTCCTATAGAAACATGTATATCTGAACATTTAATTTTTGTTACTGCCTGTGGCATTATGGCAAATTGTTACTGATATTTTGCATATCCACCACATTCCATATTAGGGATGACTAATATATAGACTCCCAAATATAGACTTCAGAGATGTTTGCGTCCCAAACTCTTTCTACACATACAGTCTTCTAGTTACACTAAAACACCTTCCAAAGTCTGCCAGCCTAGCTAGAGAAAAAAATAAGGTTGGTTACAACTACACAGAGAATGGTGTCAGAGCTGCAGATACAAAACTCATCAGCTACAGCTGTCTCATTATTACGTGAAGCCACACAATAAATACATTTGATCATTAATACTCTGTCAAAATATCCTGCCAATGACCACTTTCCATGTAGAACAGTAAACAAGAGTCAACTTTATGCATTGTAAGTCTATTGTGAAAACACACTACAGGTTGACCTCACTGCAATCACTCCCTTGCTTTGCTTTTCCCAGTATTGCCCAGGGCAAATTTAGCTTGTCAATGAATTCCTTTTGTCTTGTAATATTTATTTACTTACTTTTCTTAAATACTACATAAACATTTATCATGGTGAAGCAGTAACCAAAAGAGCTCTATAAATTATTTTCTGTATTGAGTTAAATATTTCCTTGATATTCCAATGCAACAAATTGTATTATAATGGGCATCACAAACCAAAATATTCAACTAGTTCCCAAAGCAGTTCATTATAGTAAGCTTTCACTATAGCAATAATCTTGATGTTGCAAGTGAAATCAGGTCTTCTTACATCTCATGACTCATTGGGCTTAGTTTGGTGTTTGCAGCTTGAAATTATGAGGCTCAGTCTCTAAAAGTCATTGAAGTGACTGGCTGTAATAAACTTGACATTAATTTGCATTTTTAAAGGTAGACATCCATCACTTTTAATAGCCATAAACTCTGAATCTGTCTTTAATCTACTCCATGCTGAGCCCCATGAAAAGAGGGGCTGATCTCAATCTCATCCTATGAAAATATAATTGCTTAATCTGCCCTCAGTGCTGTTTTGCACTTCTCAAATCGCTCCCCTAAATTCTGCTAACTCAACAAGAGGCATTACTATAGAAATATATGACTTTCAAACACAGCAGGCTCTCTGCATAACTGTCCTTTTACGCAGTGTACTACTGCCAGAGCTTTTTGTGATTAATGGTTCCATTCTCCAATGGTACAGATCATACAGACACACAAAATACCCTACAGAGACCTCCATTACAGCACACACATTATCATTAAGCTTGTAATTTAACAATCAAGAAAAAAATCACAGAAGTACCATTAAACTGGATGCACTAATGATAATGTCTTTGCTTCCTTTCATCTCCAGGCACCATGCCCAGTATGATCACTGTTTAAAGCTACTGTTGCAAGACAAGAGATTCTTTTTTTGTGGTCTTTACTAGGTGAGGCTCACATGTATGAGCGTTGATGAGTCTGGAGAAACTCTTTTATTGTAGTTTAACAAAGATCATACAACTCCAGAACGCAATCCCTGAAATTTTAGGCCAGTACATCGGTACTATGTATAGCACCCATTTCTTGGAGTTCACCTGTATAGCTGCAAACAGCTGATAAGTAAACATCACAGTGTAAATACGGCGCCTTAGGCCAGCCCTAGGCCTTATCTTACACAGGAGTCTCAAGAACTGAAGTAGCCTCAAGGGGACACAATTAAAAGACTGATGATTTAAAACACTATATTGCCATATCTCACCTATCTCACGTCCCTTGCCCTAAAGCTGAGTATGGTTTAATTCTCTTTGCCCCTAACACAGGGGAGTTAATCTCCACATCACCTACTGGAAGCAATCATGTGTCCACAGCATCCAACTAAAGCACTCTGAGGCAGTGTGTGGCAGCAAGGTAGCTGATACGCGCAACGGTGAGCTAAGAGAGACCAACAAAAACATTCTTCTCTGTATAAGCAATAGGCCTGGTTCAGAGGTGTCAAACTAGTTTTAGCCAGGACCCTGGAGTGAAGTCTCCTTGAATCTCTATAATGGGTTTAGCTTAGAGTTCATTTAGATGCACTTTGGCTTTGTGGCAGATTTAGTATTTCAAACCGTCTGACAGACAAGGGGAAGCAGTACTTTTTGTTTTCCTGCTGTGTTAAGCTATCACTCTCAGGGCTGTTTCACAGAATTATAGAATGGTTTGGGTTGGAAGGGACCTTAAGGATCATCTACTTCCAATCTCCCTGTCATGGTTGCCCATGAGGTGTCCCTGTGGGCAGGACCTTCCATTAGACCAGGTTGCTCCAAGTCCCATATGGCCTGGTCTTGAACATTTCAGGGACAGGGCATCCACAGCTTCTCTGGGCAACCTGTTCCACCTGTCTAACCACCCTTAAAGTGAAGATTTTCTTCCCAATATCTAATCTAAACATGGTCTCTTTCATTTTGAAGCCATTACCCTTGGTCCTATCACTACAAGTCCTTGTAAAAAGTCCCTCTCCAGCTCCCCTTTTGGGTACTGCAAAGCTGCTATAAAGTCTCCCTGGAGCCTTCTCTTCTCCAGGCTGAACAACCCCAACTCTCTCAGCCTTTATTGCTCCCTGTTTCCACACAGGAAGCACATTCGTGATAGCGTTGCTGACATGAGCGAGTACCCCTACCCCCAGACACAAGCAGGTTATTTTTAACAGATTAAAGATCTTTATAACCTAATTTGTAACTAGAAAACACACAAAGTCACAGGGAGCTGACAAAAGTGAACCGATTACAATCATCTGAATATTGGAAAGTTGTCTTAGCAGCGGCAGAATAAATTGCAAGTAAGCAAACAGCAGCATCTGATTAGTTGTAGGAACAGATGGGAGGAGGGATTTAACAGGCCTGCTGATAAGCACCACAAAGGAGACTCTCATTGATAAATACGGTATTTGCTTATACAGAGACACAAATATGATGAGGAGTAAATGGGAGAAAACTGCTCTTTCAATAGGAAACAATACTGGAGTCCTTGAATGTCTTCTATAAAGGTTGCAAAAAAATGTGATACAATGACTGAGACTACCATCTGCTTGAAAGAAAAATCACTGCAGGGAAGGAAACAAATATGGTGCAAGTTTTGCAAAACTAAAAGTGTATAGCTCATAGCTCATCTAAAGTCTTATTCCCTTGCTAATCTCTCCTTAAAGAGCACAGTTACCAAAATGTATTGGTCAATAACAGTTTTTTCCACTTGAATGTGTGTGCTCATGTTTTGTTACAGTTCCAAGTACTCACTACCTACAACAACATAAAAGCATAATGAGAAGCCCATTCTAGCTGCCCAATTGAACAACTGCGATAAAGAGCTATATATAGCTACATAGCTATAAGTAAGATGAAGATAAAGAGCTATATATAGCAATCCTATACTTGAAAAGGCAATTAGTTAATGAAAGATTTTGTCTTTTGCTACGCCAAAAAAAAAAAAATACTGTCCTTCAAATGATAAAAAGGTGCTGCTTAACAGATGACAAGTTCTGGTTGACAGCCATAAGCCACTTAGTAGGTAAGCTTATCATCCTCATCTCTAGCTTGCTGTTTTGCAGGTAGGACTATGTATTACAGACAAAGTGTGACTGGGTGCCCTCTGGAAGGTGAAATGGGGAGCAGGCAGTCAGAGTCTTCCTTTGAGCACTTGCCAGTGTCACTGGCTCAACTAGATGGAGGTATATGACTTTGCACAAGGAAGAGCATTTAGTGCATTTGGATTTACTTTCTGTGTTGGAGTCTGGGAAAGTCATAAAGGGCTCCTGAAGAGTTCTATGCTGTTTTAATGAAAATGCCAAGCAAAGAATGCCTCAACATTTTGACATATAGCCATCACTTCTTTCTCTTTCCCCACCGCTAGACTGCTTAGTATTCAGTTTAACTTCTCCTGAACTTGAAATGGGTGGCAGAAACTATAATGGAATGAGTTACAGTCCATAAGAGACTATCCTTCATACTTAATGCCTGCTCACATCACCAAGATCCTTCATCAAAAAAGCATCACCTGGCAAAGACCAGCAACCATCTGGAAAAAATATACACACCTGAAAAGCTAATAAAGTTCAAACTGATTGGATTTCAATATTTAAATCAAGAAATTATTGGTGTTTTGGAATAAATGATTTCCTAATGTAATGCTGTATTTTTCTCAGTTAACAGAATCTACAACTAGGTTAGCCCACTAGCATGAACACATCTCACCAATTCACCCAGATACACACGTTCAAGCATGTACTTAGCCCTTAGTTTAAGACACACAAATAATGACACTGCCCAAACAGTTTTGCAACACAACCAAAACTCCATTTTAAAAATTTGTTTTTAAAACGTGCATTTTTCTGGGTTGAAATGGGACAGAACTCGTTCTCAGTAGAGGACAAAAAAATCCTTACCAAGTACTTTTCTGTAAAGCTCTTTGCACAAGTTACACAAGAGAGATTCTTTTATAAAACTTTTAAGCTCAATGCTTCAATCTTGTAAATCCTCAGAACAGAGGCAGCAATTCAGCTATGTTAATTTTTAAAAGCTTGATGGTTTATCATTTTTGCACACTTGTAAACACCAAGAATGTACACTGAAATGAAGCAATCGTTGAAAAGTAACTGGACACAAAAAGTCAATAAACAGACAATATGAAGAACACCCACACTTCTTCGATAAAAATAACAAAAAATGGTAATAAAATAACCAGAAAGTTTAATAAAGTAACTGCTTGAAAGCTTCATGCTTCCTGGATATTCAAGAACTACTACCAAAAAAGAAAGGAAAGCAAAATAATGACAAAATGGTCTAATGCAAATAAAAGGTCACACATGATTGCATGCACTATGGAGTGATGCATTCTTTCAGTAGTTGTACCTCATTTACTAAAAACCTGACAGAAGCACTGCTTTTATAATTTGCTAAAGCAGGATTATTTAGGTCAGTTCTCTTGTTTTAAAAAACAAGAATTATTTGTTCTCACAGGAAAAAATGTTCAACCATTTACTTGTCACATTTGAAGTCTTTCCACTACCACTTAGATGAGTACAGAAAATGACTTCAGAAGCCTGTTTTATGTGCAAAGTAATACATCAGTATAGAACATTCTTTCTTGCTGCTCTTTTAGGTTTTTTTTCTTTGAAACTGTACCTCTGTCTGGAGAATTTAGTAATGTTGCAGATGAGGAGGAGAGCCGCTTGTTAATGACTGGATCAACATGTTTCGAAAGGTTCATTGTTGAAACAGACCGCCTGTCTCGATCTAAAACAAATGGAGATAATGCTAATTGACAGCCCACATGCAATAGTGCAAGTTCCTAGCTCGCTAGTGGGAGGAGGAAAACAGGACTAGGTCACTCCTGCTCTACCACAAGAACTTTCAGAACAGAATGGATTTCTCAGAAGACGCTGCATAGGCGACTCAAAGACTGGGCACAAAACAATTTAAGCTTCAAATGTGTAAAATATTCTGTTCGTTATCATTTAATGGGTTGCAATCTAAAGATTTTCAGTATTCTTGGAAAAAGTTTGCTCATGACTTACAATAGAAAGCTTCAGTGAGGGACCCGGCTGGATGGAAACTCAAAGTTATTCATTAAGAAAAAACTTTAACACCTCAATAAAAGGTGACATTTGAAAGGGCACTGTTAGTAGGCAGACAGTCAATATCATGACAATGCAATGCTGAAAGATTAAGGGAAGGCCAGTACACAAAGGAAGTGAGGGTAAGCACAAAAGGAATTAAAAGATTTACTTAAAAATCCCACAGTTACGTAGAAGTGCTAAACTGCCCACCACAGAGTCATTTTCAACCTGCTGAGAACAAAGTTGTACTGCGTTAATCCAAAAGAGCACACAGTTCAGCAGATTACAGAAATTCAGTCTCTGTGGAAGGCACTTGTAATGCAGATACATGGCATATGTAACACTAAACGTTTATAATTTGCTTACATTTTCTCTACATTTTAGAGCAGTATCACATCATTTGCCTGCCCAACTGCTGCAGTCAGCATCTGCACCCTACTGAGGGGGTGATGGTTATTTCAAGAATAGAGATTGCACACGTTTGTGTATATGGGTGTCACAGGAAGGTTGCTAGCAATAGCAGAAGGGAAGGAATGAGCTGAACAAGTCAGCTATGTCCTTTCTGTTCTCTCTCTCTCTCAGAGAAAAAGAAAAAAAAAGAAAAGAGCTACATATCTCAACTACACATTCTCCATTGTAAATTTCCATTTGGAAATCTGACATTCAGAACATGCTGTGAGAGTCAATCCTGCTTTTGCTTACACATTAGCATGTACTGACCCTCAGCACTACTCAGCAAAGCATTCAACCATTCTGAAATGCAATGAGGCTTAAGCATATGTTTAACTGCTCTGCTGATTCATATTCTGTGTGTGCAAAAATATGTCTGCATACTCTTTTGGGAGAAGATACAAATTCAGAACACTGACAAAATTAAGGGTGATGTTGCTGAAATACTATTGCCATTATTTATTTATGACAAGTACATCAACACTGTATTTACCTGTTCTGTCCTAATGGATTAGAGCATACTCACTGTATTCACAAAAAATTTCATAGAAATACAGTATATGAAAAATACCTTAACTCTCCCCAGATCTATGAGTTATAAAGGATTCACCATAACTGGTTGAGCTGAAGAAAGATTCTTCCCTACTCCATGAGATTATTCGCTAACTGTGCCTAGTGTTAGAATGACTTAGTGAGAGTCTAAAACTGGCAGACTGGGTAGTGGAAGGGGAATAAAACTCAGAAATGGGTTTTTAAAGGAGAAATCTAGGTGTTGAAATGGAGAACAAGACCTCTGTAGGCTGGCACACTTATCCCACATTGATCTAGGGGGTATATTGAAGAATGCTCTGTGTGAATAAGTCATTACTGGAGACAGGATGCTCAGGCTTCCTGAGAACAGAACAATATTTCTGGGAATGGGGATTTTGATCTCATATCTAATCTATCCCTGAGAAACTGTATAGTATATCAATACAGCCATGAAGTTTCTGCATTTGGCAGAAATGATGTACTGCATAAACCAGCTTACTGAAGATGACAAATAACAATATTAAAAATCACCTCTGTTATTTGGCATGCCAACCTTTCTCGTGTCAATGAACCTTATTTAAATGAATGCCATTCAGCATGAGGATTTGCATATAAGTGTTGGCAATATGAATCCTATAAATATAGAATAGGTCAAATGCAATCCATTGCCTAGAAAATTGCTGCTTTGTTCTAAAAAAAAAAAAAGAAAAACAAAACCCAGCAAAAAAAATTAAAATACCCATGAGCAACATAACAGCCAATGTAGCTGGTTATGTGTCTGTGTTCATGTGCAAAATAATTGTAAATCCTGTGTGTATGCAGTATGCCAAAAGGGTTTTAGAAAATAACAAAATATTCAAATTGGGTCTCCTTGAATTTCAGTAGACAGAATATTATGCTTCATTTCAGTGAATTGTGCCAAATCTTTAGAGTCAGCCAGTAGTAGCTCTCTAGAAAAAATAAATAATAATGAAAAAATCTGGTACTAAGAACAGTTCTAATCTATCAGCATGATGTTAAACATGCATTGCAACTACATGAGGGTGGTTTAGTTACTGATGATCTCAATTCCTGAGAACTAGCTAAGGGTAAAGGAATAAAAAAACACAGCATTATGTACCAGCTTTTCTAGCACCACCCTGAGATCTGAAGTGGTGCTCCAGGCCTGCTAAATCGAGAAAGGTGAATGATGATTCAAAAAAATAACCTAGGGACAGAATGCAAGACAATGATTTTTCACAGAAAATAAAATAAAAATCAAATAAGTTATACAGAGTTAAGCAAAAAAAGTAACCCATTATGAAAAATAACTGTTTATTGAACTTATACATGATAAAGATTTCAGAACATAAGCATTCTTTTCTCAACTTTTTTTTTTCCTCCTTGATGAAAGGTTGGGCACACTGAAATTAGAATAGGAAGAAAAGAACTTTAAGTACCACTTTCTGGTGGTAAATAAAGGAAAGGTCCTCTTTATGGGGGTTTGATTCACATTTAACAGGGCATATACACATTAATGATTGGCAGATTAAGTTAGAGAAGATAATTGGGGGAAAAAAGCCAAATATATCTAAAATTCACTTAAACTTAATTTGCGGACTTCTATCTTCCAAAATATTTGTACAAGGCACAGATAGCTTATTACAAAGAACAACTTTTCTTCCTTGTGTCTATTTGAATCTCAGTCTTTGGTCATTTCCACCAGACCTGCTTTTTGAGGCATATAGCTAGCATTTGCCACAGTAGCTCATATCACGAGATTGACAGGGCACAAGCACACCCACATATACACACACAAACAACAGCAAAGCAGCAGAAGCGAGAAGCTGTAGCAAGATAGTTACATAATCAGTTAACTCCCGAAACAAGCTCTAACTTTTGTTCAGTTTTCTCCTTGTTGTCTTTCTGCTACACAAGAGTGTCAGAAGCATGCCATTGCTAGCAATAATAAGATCAAGTGCAAAGAATTTAAAACAACATACACTGAACCATTCCTCCTTTTTAACAGAAGCAAAATAAGTTCCAGTTAACTGGCAGGGGAGGGAAACTGGCCAGCAAACCAAGCCTCCCTCCTTACCTGTGTTACTAATGCGGTTATGTAGTGCTCCTCCCCAGGACCATCTGTTTTGCTTTTGTTTTGGCTTCTGGCTTCTCTCCATTGTGCGACGTACAACAGCTTCATGTCGTTCCTTAGGTACAACAGGATAATACCTTTGGATACTACTGGGTTTTTAACTTCATCTTCTCATCAAACCCTTCTCATCAAATCTACCCTCCATACCCACAGACAGAACCTAGCAGGCATCTTTGAATTGTGTTTAAGCTTATGTGATGCCTACTAAGACACACACCAGAACAGGGTTAAGCAGAATTAAATCATAAATAAGTTAGAATCTGAAAATTAAGTGAATTTTTGAAAAGGTAGTATCTGTTTGAGAGTTGCAGAACTACAGAGAAAAAACATTGGTCTTGTTATGGCAGCCACTATACAAACACACCCTAGTGCTATTTCCCACCTACTAAATACTAGAACAGCCAGGAGAGAGAGGAAAGAAAAAAACTCATAAGCATGAGCTGACTTTCACAGGATCACACTGCACATAGTTGCCAGATTAATTGAGACAATTCAGCCAAGCGCACATTTCATTACCCACTCATTTTTTAAAAGGTTTTTTTTTATGGCAACTAATATGCAGCTACTGTTGAACTGAATGGCTTGGAATGAACACATAACCATACAGACCTGTCCCGATTCGTGTTTTTGTGTATCAGTCTGTGCAGTTCCATAGACTAACCCAGGCATGCACAACTCCACTGCATTTGACTCATAAGAGTCACTTAAAGAAGCAGTACTTGTGCAAGTAAGACTTAAAATCCTTTTGCACACTCTGTCATACTGGCCATGGTTCATGTTGCATTCTTTATATTAACTCTTACAGAAAAAGTTTGATAGTACTGTATCTTATAGTAAAAGCAAGCTAAAAAGTGTTTTCATGACATTTATTCTCACCTTGTCTTCTTCTATTCTCTGCCTTCGCTTTTCCTCTACGGCAGCTCGCCTTCTCTCTTCCTTAAGTCTCTGCTCTTCTAGCTTCTTTCTGCGTTCCTCTAGATGTTTTTCATAATGTTGCCGGGCTCTCTCTTCTCTTTCTAACCAGACAGATTCTCTTGCAGCTGTGAGAAAAATCAGAAATAAAAGGATTGGCACGATATATGCAATGCACTCTGAAACACATTTTGAATAAACAAGCTAAATGGAAAAACTTTTTGAACTAATAAAAACTTTTGAACTAATTTTCTTCAGACATACATAATTTCCTAGTCTCTCTTTATGTATTAAAATGGCCCCACATCCATTTAATTTCATCTCAATTTATGTATTGCGAATTACCAACAATTATTTGAGCATATAGTTTCTGAGCGGAAAAAAGGATTTTTTGTAACTTAAAATGCCTAAATACTAAAGTCAAGTGTATGTGAACAAATTTCTGTTGTAATATAACGGCCAGTCTTCGCGAACGAAGATCCGGGGAAGGTCTTTACACCTTCCAGCCTGTGCATTGGATTTTTTAGGTGAGACACAGTGTGCGCGGAACTGAGCCCACCCTTTAATCCTGAGGTTCATCTGCCGGGGCCAAGCACGCTTGGACGGTGGCAGTGAGGTCCTCAGGACGTAGATGGATTGCCTTATGGGCTAACGAGCTCCATCTGCCCGGGGAGTGGCCCTGATCAGGAATTGAACCGGGGCCTCGGCGGTGACAGCGCCGCATCCTTAACCACTAGACCACCAGGGGCTCCCACAAACTTCTGTTGTACAAGCCATGATAACACTCTGTAATATTTTACTGAAAAAAAAAAAAAAAGAAAAAAGAAAAAGGAAAGATAAAACTATGATCACTTTTGCCTTTGCTGATCAATACACATTCCCTATGATAGAAGTGGCTGGGATGACAATTCTAGCACCTGGACTGTTATCTGTACCAACAGAAGGAAAGAACTTATCCACCAAAAAAAAACAGTCTAAAGGTGAACTATAATCTATCACATAACTCCACTGCTGCACCGCTCTGAACGCGTTTCAGAAGACCTAATACAGACGAATCAAGAGGCACTAAACAAGATAAATTTTGCTCCCCATATCAGGGTCTGAATTTTCATGAAGGTATTATCTGGAACATGGCCTCAAACCGCAGTCCACAAGAAACCAATCACATAGGATGGTCTAGATCTCTCCCCATTGCTGTCTTGAAATCTTTGGGTCCCAGAAATTTATGTGTTCTAAAAAAATGTTTTACTTGTTTTTTTCTAAAATCCCAGCCATTTAATACTTCTGGATCTTTGTGAACTGATAGGTGGGAGTGCAGAAAGAAATGCACATGATAATCACAAGACAAGTATCACAGAGAACCACATTATAAAACCTTAACACAGCAGAAACACGGAACCATGACAACAGTGTCAAAAAGCTTTGCCATTTCCAAGACCAGCAATGTAAGGAAGTTCTCTTACTAAGAGTGAGAGAGTTTGGGGATTTTTAAAATTACATCTGGGGTAAAAAAGAAGAAGAAGAAAAAAAGAGCCTATTTTTAAAATCCCGTGCTCTAGAACTGCAATTTCAGCCTTCAATTAAAAGAGAGATTTGTGCTGTTTGACACAACCATATACCAAAGCCAAAACACCCAAATGCTTTTAGATGTCCAGAGCAGACATTGCAATCACTTCTTATAATGCCAGGACTCATCAGTACCATATTGCTCTTCTGCACCTTCTTGCCTACTCAAACAAATCCCATCTCACTGATGGGATGATCCCACTCAATAAATAACTTGGATTCCACTTTGAACATTATGTACTTGCATACTTAATCTCATGGAAAATTTTTATCCAGAGTAGACCAGTTCATGTTGTAGAGTCATCTCCCTTGAGAAAATCCCTCTCTACCATTTCAGATGTCAAATACTTTGCTGACAAAAGCAGATAGCATGTTTAGCTTTGCTGTGGGATACAAACTAGCAGAGATATTTGTTGAGCAGCTAAAGACAGCCTTAAGACACCTTCATGGTAAGAAGGGTGAAAGCTCAGTAAGATGTTTGCAGGAAATTTAACAATCGTAGCTAGAATAATTATAGCGACAAGGAATAGTACAGTTCCTTAGATAATTAATAACAATAGGTGTGAGAAGTAACACCTGCAACTGTGAAATACTAATGCAACAGCCAGCAGAAGATTTCTAGAAATACTTTTCTATTCTAACTTAGTTACAAGTGAGTTGAAGGAGAAATGTAAACCACAGATTAAGGCAGAAAAAAGCAGAATATGGCAAAAAAATCAGCTTCCAGGACAACTAAAATCTGCAAATGCTTCTTCTTGTGCACTAAAACCTTACAGCGTAACAAAATAGAGCCAGAACTAGTGTTCCAAATGGAAAGCTAATTTGTAAAGCAGAAACATGCATCTGTTTCTTCTTGCGATGCCCCTTCTTGGGAAGGCAAGAGCTCACCAAGAGAATGTACGGACAGAGAGGAGACTCTCACTATGGTCTACTCTTCTCCTGGAAATACATGACCCCCCATGATCATAGAACCATATAACGGTGTGAGTTGGAAGGGACCTTAGAGATCATCTAGTTCCAATCCCCCTGCTGTGGACAAGACACACCTTTCACTAGACCAGATTTCTCAGAGCTCCATCCAACCTGGCCTTGAACACTTCCAGGGATGGGGCATCCACAACTTTTCTGGGCAATTTATCATGTCGTCTTTCTATTGCCCAGGTACAAAGAAGACCGAGCAAAGGGCTCAGTTTGAGCTCACCTTTTTCAACAATTTGAGTTACATCGTGAACAACTGATATATAATAAAATATGTAATCTCTGAGGTACCATCCCCATCCCCATCCCCTCCTTTTGTCTTTGCCTTCTACTTAACAGTCTAAATTTTCTGCCCAATGCCTTGGGCGGAACCTTTGTCAGCCTGTCACCAGAAAGGTAGTGATTTTTGCAAAAGCTTGCTCTTCCTATTAGCTTCTACACAGTTGGACTGCAGAATAGTGTCAGCCCAAGCATAAGCAGCCACATCAGTGAACTGCACTGTTCTTTCCACTCTACATGTATTTATCTTGTTTTCTTCAGCAAATGAGGATAATGTTCTCCAAAAGGAGCAACCCAGGTAATATCAACCAACTACTTTATGAAAAACAAAATTAAAAATACGTGTTACCTTCAATACCATCTAAATACCACTTAAAAACTAGCAAAAGACATTTCTAAAGTCCTTCTGTTTATTGAGAAGACTAAAGAGTATCCTTAATCTCTGAATTCCGCACTGCAAACATTCCACTGATTTCCCCTGAATATTTGATTAAAATAATTAAAATAATTGTTCATTTGTGCTAGACTGTGGTAATGTTAAGTAACTGTTAAATGCCATTCCTAGAGGGTATTACTCTCGCTTGTTCTTTCTGTACAATTACTTCCTGTGAAGCTTTTTCTCCTTGTTATCATCTCCAAAATTGTGTCCTATTTAAGTCTACTGTTTTGTTTCATTTCTGATGGGGAAATGTTTAGAGAGTTTGTTTCAGTTCTCTGGACAGTATTGCACAGATATCTACGGATGCAGAGCTTGTAATACTTTAACTTTTGACTTCGTTTATTCTGACATGCAGAAACTGTAAAACTACTTTTAATTTCCAGTCTATTATTTGTCTGTCAGTAGATATTGCAGAAATGGATCTTGGGGGATGTGATGGTTCGGACTTGGCTCCCTGCCAAATGCCCAACCCCCCAGTAGCAGCCCCTCTCTTCCCCCTTTCTACTTCCCCCAGGGCAAAGGAAAAAAACCTATGCAAATTGAAGAACCCAAAAATCAAGCTAGTTATATAAAAACATATATATATATTTTATGTATATTACAGTTAAGATGCTATGTACACAGTAAAAGGGAATCCAAATACCCCCCAAAGGGATAGGGAAAGGGGAAAAGGAACAAAAGGGAACAAAAAAAGGACACCGAGCAGATATACGCAATCAAACCCGAGAATTAGTAAAATAACTAGTAAAACAAATCTCACCACATCCCTGAGAGAAAAAACAGGATTGACACACACATGGCCAGCACTCCCCAAGCCTCCACGTGGCAGGTCAGTGGATGCTGCAGGCCTCAGCCTTAGATAAGCGAGACCAGTGCAGGGACCCACTGTTCCCGAACTTCGGTGGAAGAGGAGAGAGCGAAGGCCTCTCCTCCCCTCTTATTTATACCCTGATTTACGTAAAAATCATATGGAATACTGGGAACACTGCCCCTTCCTTGGTTACAAACTTGGTTACAAACTGGTAACCTAGATTAAAACCACCATAGGGGAAAAGAAATAAAGGAGAGAATCATTCACTATCCTCCTCTTAAAAGGAAATCAGGAGTCTAATTCATTTATTGCAAGCAAAATTTGTTTAATATTATCTTTGTTAAAAGCTTTACCTTCCCTAATCAGGCATTCAAGAGAGGAACTAGACTGTTCCCTGATGCAACACCAGTTCGCAGTCTAAGTTATACGTATCTTCACTCAGTAAATGCTCTAGACTCTTATAGCATCCTGTCACCATAGTGGTATATAAATGAATAAAAAAAAAGAAAAAACAAAACAAAACAAGCCAACCTACCACACAAAAAAACCCAAACCCCAAAAAACACCAGTGGACACACCGTGTTACTGAACACATTAGTAACCCATACGCTGTAGCTGTTCAAAACTGGAATTCAATCAAACCATTTTCCAGAAGTTTTGAAGAATCCATTCTCTTTGAAAAAGCTACGAGTATCTAAGAAGCATAATAGCATATATATATATATATATATCTCACAAAAGCCCATCTAGCTGCAGCATGTTGGCTTTTACTTAATAGTCACTTACTTTCAGACTCTAATGACCACATCAAGACAAGCCACTGCTGTGAACCACAAGACTTCCACAGATCCTGTGATCTTTTGTGCTTGGAATCTGCTTACAATGGTAACCCAGCATGAAAAAGCTCTTTGGTTGTCCACTGAAAATTAATAAGTTAAGAAAAAACAAAAACTAAAAACCCATCAGCTTTCTTAACTGATGTCACTGGAACATTAATTTGCCTATAAAAGACATGGAGATCTTTCTGTAATTAATGTAGATGGTTAGACATTCTT